GAGCAGGAGGCAGCGGAAAGGGAAAGACAGAGAGAGATGACGAGACTCTGACGGCAGCGGTGCAGAAGCTGGGGGTCTAGGGGCACCTGGTGGCCGGGAGGACGGAGCGCAGAGCAGGAACCAGACGGGGGACGGCCCTAAGGGGAGCCTGAGGGTCCCCCCGCTTCGCGCAGGGCTGGTGCGGCCGGGGACGCCGTATGATCTGCGGGTGACGTGAGCCCTGCAGGCTGTTGCCCTGGGTTGTTGGAATAATTACCCGTCTGCCCCCGTCCCCACGATGGCACAGCCCATCCAATCACCAGTTGTTGAGCACCTACTAAGTGACTGATGTCTAAGTTGGGAAACAGCCCAAAAATAATTACCAGGAAAGTGCTCAGGCCTGGAAGTGGCACGTTATTCTCATGTCAGTCCTGACACCAGACTGGCAATAGCAAAAGGCTTAAGAATAAACTCAGCTTGGTTACTGACAGGGTGTCTTTGGACAAGTCACATCACTTTTCCGTGCCTCCGTTTTCACATCCACAGAATGGGGGATGGTAATAATAGCTATCTCATAAGGTTATTGTGAGAGTTTGATACACTTTACCTGTGCCAAATGCTTAGAACAATGGCTGGCACACCAAGCCACTATATAAATGTTATGTTGTTATGTCACTTGGAGCAAATCTTTTCTCCTCTCTGGAATCTCTTTTAATTCCAAGGAAAGTAAGTTTGAAAAGATGACCAATCATAAGTACAGAGGCTCAAATGGGGTACAGAGGGCATGACTGATCTGGGCAGGCAATGATGGGGTGCTGAGGAGCCCAGACATTCTTAAGAAGAGATCTTCAGCAGAGGTGTAAGCATTTAGGCCATGTCTGGGGAGTAGTTAATAATCTAGTTTTGGCATGTATCTTGCATGTCCCTCAAGAGTAAGGATCAAACTATTTTCATCTTTGTGTCCCTAGCACCTGGTGTGAGGCAGATGCAGTATATGTTTGCTGTTTGAATGAATGGGAAATGAGCCTGGAAAAGTAGATTGGAAGCATACTGTGGCTCCTAACCCTTATTTATCTTCTATACCAATTGGGAAGTGTTTTCAAAATAACCCTTGCAGGCTTGCACCTTGAAGACTGTGATTTAGTAGGCTTAGTCTGGGGCCCAGGAATCTGCATCTTTTAAACTTATCCAGGGGTCATTTAGACAATTAGTCACATTTTAGAACCACTGCTGTTAGTGGACCTTAAATGCCTCTGATGCCAGGCTGAGGCATCTCATTATGTAGATGACAGGAAACCTATGAGCAAGGGAATAATTTTATCATGTTCTCCAAGCCCTTGCTACTCAAAGTGATCCACGGACCAGCAAAATCTGCAACTTCCAAGAGTTTGTTAGAAGCACAGGGTCTCAGGCCCTAATTCTGGACCAACTGAACCAGAATCTGCATAATAACAAGGTCCTCAGTGATGTGGACACACAGTTAGGCAGTGGTATTCCATCTAATAGCACAATAAAATCACTTGGGGAGCACTTAAAAATCCTAATGCCCAGGCCACAGCCCAGACAAAGTAAATCAGGATTTGTGTGGGTACCAATCTGTTTGAAAAAGGTGTGTTTCCAGGCAATTCCAATGTGCAACCAAAGTTGAGAATCACTGCTATACAGACACTCCACTAAAACCAGTATAAGCTGAACTGGAGAAGACAACTTGTTACAAGTGGATTGGAACAGAGCAGACAAGAGGCAATGACAGCCTAAAGAAAGAAAACACAGAAAGATCGATTCACTATCCATGGATAGTACGTTAATCTCAATTTTTTCCCCATCTGTTTTCTCATTGCAGTAACTTTTTTTCTTCTAGTACCTGGAATTACCTTCTTGCTGTCACCACTTCGTTGAGAAGAACAGAGCATTAAAGGCTTCAGGGATCTAAAGGCTGAGGGGATAAGGAAAGGTGCCAGTTCCTCCAGTGGAGGGTTTATTGGGCCTTTACCCTGCAGTGACAAATATTTCAGGTGCAAGCTTCATTACCTGGGGCTAAATTTTATTAATTTACATATCCTTGGTCACAATCCTTGTTCCACCAAATCAGATCCTTGTCAACAGTGGCATCTCCCAGAAAAGTTCTGGACTGTTAGGGAGAGCAGGGCACCAATTGATTTGAATAAGAGTGACAATAATACTCATAATAGTCACAATGATGATAATAACACTTATTAATGTACCAGGCATTGTTCCAAGTACTTCCCATAGATGAACTCATTTCATCTTCACAATTCTGAGAGGGAAACTACTGTTACCCCAGTTTTAGAGGTGAGCCACTGAGGCCCAGAGCAGTCAAGGAAATTGCTCAAGGTGACATGATTAGTGGGAGGAGATTTGGGTATGAATGGCTCTGGAGGTCATGCTCTTAACCACCCAGAGACGCCACCTCCACTTGACTGGACTCTCCGACAGATGTGTATTATATTTTTCTGTATTACCAGCTCCTAACCTCCGTGGCAAGCACGAGAAGTTATTTAGAGGTAGAAAAGGAATTCCATTTTTTTAAGTCATATTACCTGTTATGTACTAGTCACAATGCCAGTCATGGGGACACAGAGATGAAGAGCTTCAACCACAAGGAGCATCCACAGTCCATCAGGAGAAGCAGAAGAGTCAGCAAATGCAGCACATGAGATAAACAGGAGCATGCAGAGCACACAGGGAGGACAGGCCCTGAGCCCCAAACCTGGGGGCTCAGGGCAGGGTGCTTAATTTGAGTCCTCGAACTAAGCTCGTTCTCTGAGTTGGACTGAAAGCATTAGAAGCCACAGCTGGGCCCACCAATCTTGAGTCAGCTAAAGATTGAAGTGTGAAAATTTGAAAACCAGCAGCAACAATCTTCCTTTCTTTCCCCCCCGGACAATGATTCTCTTGTGCTTAATTAGGTGCTGAAGTAGCTGACCAAGTGTCAGCTAAACTTCACTAGAATTAAGAGTTTTATGGAACCATGCAGACAGCAAGGTGAATCTGTGCCCGCTTCCAGGCTTAACTGTTCAGCAACTATCCAAGTCAACAGACAATGGAAGGTACTGGAGGCTGAGCAGTTAGGCTACAATTCTGTTCATTTCTTTCACAAAAACCATAGTCAAATAGCCCAGAAATAGACCCCCCGAAATATACTCAATTGATCTTTGACAAAGGAACTAAGGCAATATGATGATGGAGAAAAGAGTGTCTTCAACAAATGGTGTTGGAACAACTGGACACCCACATGCAAAAAAGAAAAAAAGAATCTAGACACACAGACCTTATACCCTTCGCAAAAATGAACTTAAGATAAATCATAGACCTCAATGTAAAACACAAAACTATAAAGTTCCTAGAAGATAATATAGGAGAAAACCTAGATGTCCTCACATATGGTGATGTCTTTTTAGATACAACACCAAAGATATGACCCATGAAAGAAATAAATGTTAAGCTGGACTTCATTAAAATTAAAAATACTGCTTTGCAAAAGATAGGACTAGGAGAATTAGGACAAACCGCAGACTGGGAGGAAATACTTGCAAAAGACAAATCCATTAAAGGACTAATACACAAAGAACTCTTAAAACTCAACAGTAGGAAAACAGCCCAATTAAGAAATGGGCCAAAGATCTTAGTAGATACCTCACCAAAAAAGATACACAGATAGGGAACAAGCATATGAAAAGATGTCCCACATCATGTCACCAGGAAAATGCAAATTAAAACAAGACACCACTATGTACCCATTAGGAGAGCCAATGTCAGGAATGCTGACAACATATGCTGATAAGGATGTGGAGCAACAGGAACTCTCATTCATTGCTAGTACAGCCACTTTGGAAAATGGGTGGTTTCTTACAAAACTAGATATCCTGTTACCATAAGATCCAGCAACCATGTTCCTTGGTATTTGCCCAAAGGAATTAAAAACTTATGTCCACACAAAAACCTACACACAGATGTTTATAGCAGCTTTATTCATAATAGCCAAAAGTTGGAAGCAACCAAGGTGTCCTTCAGTAGGTGAATGGGTAAACTGTGGCATATCCAGACAATGGAATATTATTCAGTGCTTAAAAAAAAAAAGCTACCAAGCCATGAAAAGTCATGGAGGAAACTTACATGCATATGATTACTAAGTGAAAGAAGCCAGTGTGAAAAGGCTACATACTATATGATTCCAACTGTGTGGCATTCTGGAAAAGGCAGAACTATAAAAATAATAAAAAGATCAGTGGTTGCCAGGGTATGGGGTGGGAGGGAGGAATGGTGGAGCACAGAGGACTGCTGAGGCAGTGAAAATACTCTGTATAATACAACGATGGACATGTCATTATATTTTTGTCCAAACCCATGGAATGTACAACACTAAAAGTGAACTCTAAGGTAAATTATGGACTGATTATGATATGTCGATGTAGGTTCATCCTTGGTAAAAAATATACTTTCATTTGACCCAGTAATTCCACTCCTAGGAATTTACCTGAAGGAAACATGATCCCTGATTTGCAAAGACATATGCACCCTTGTTTATCGCAGCGCTATTTACAATAGCCAATATATGGAAGCAACCTAAGTGTCCATCAATAAATGAATGGATAAAGATGTGGTATATATATACAATGGAATATTATTCAACCACAAAAAGAAAAGAAATCCTACCATTTGCAACAACATGGATGGAGCCACAGGGTATTATGCTGGGTGAAATAAGCCAGGCAGAGAAAGAGAAATATCAAATGATTTCACTCATTTGTGGACTATAGCAGCAAAGCAAAACTGAAGGAACAAAATAGCAGCAGACTCACAGACACTGAGAGGTGACTAGCGGTTACCAAAGGGGAGGTGTTAGGGAGGGTGGGTAGGGAGGGAGGTAAAGGTGATTAAGGGGCACTATAATTTGCAATCACAATATAGGTAGGTCACAGGGAAGGCAGTACAGCATGAAGACAAGTAATAACTCTATAGCATCTTGCTACGCTGATAGACAGTGACTGCAGTAGAAGGGATAAGGACTTGATAATATGGGTGAATGTTGAAACCACAGTGTTGTTTATATGAAACCATCATAAGACTGTGTATCAATGACACTCTAATTAAAAAAAAAACAGATCACCTTCCTCTACTTGATAAAAAAAAAAAGTACTTTTTGGTGAATGATGTTGACAATGGGAGAGGTGTGTGCGGGTGGGGTAGGGAGCATATGGTGAATCTCTGTACCTTCCTCTCAACTTTGTTGTAAATGTAAAACTGCTCTAAAAAATTTTTTGAGACGTCATAGGGATGAAAACCATCATCATGGATAGCGCAGACCAGTGTTCAGCACTCACCTGAACAAGATGTCAAGCTCAGACTGCTTCAGTAAAGGGTCAGTGCTGGCATCCATGACTCTATAAGGAGGATGAACACACGCATGTGTATGTAGGCATAGATATGCACAGATGGGCTCGCGGGTGGCAGAGTAGTCCCTTCAATTCCTGTTGAAGGTTCCTCTTGCTGTCTCTTTGTTGCATACCTAGTATCTTTCAACTAGATCTTCTCTTGAGAAAGTAACCACTAGCAATAAGCTTTGTCCCACTTACAACATGAAATTTTAGTCTTAATATAAACTCCATTCAAACATCAGAAACAGTTCAATCTTGATAATTTGTGCATAGGTTTCCAATGTGGATGCTATTTGCAATAAATGTTTAATCCCAGCTTTTCCCTATCAGCCATAACATTTCTGAAGGGCCTCTCTTTCCCACAGGTCAATGCTTACCTCACAGATGGTAACTATTTAAATTTTTGTTAATCCAAGAAAAACCACAAGAATGGCTTCCTTGCCCCACACCCACTCACCAGAAGTCACGGTGCATCCCAAAGCCAAATATATTTGATTATTAAATTATCCTTTGCCTTAAATATCTATTGCATTCCACTGTGAATAAGGAATCATTGACCTTCAGGATATCTGAGATATGAACTATTCACCTCAGACTCCACCTCTTAAATCTGGAAAGGACTTGACCTTAAACATTTACCATTCTCCCACTTAGAAAAAGAGGAAACTAATCTCTTACCTATCCTGCCCCCAAGGTAGTTTCGTCAAAAAGTTAAGAACTGAGCTCATTAGAGCCTGTATTAATGTATGTCATTTTTTTAGCATCAGTTTGGGGAGTAAAAGACTTGAAGCACCCACTGCAAACATTTTCTTCTGCCCATTTCATTATATGCATTCACAATCCCTGCAACAAAAGACACAGAATAATAATCTAAACCTCTTCTTATCAAGAGTGGAATAGTTTATATCATCACTGTACAAATTTATTGAGGAACAGAGATTCCTTTGAATCTCAACATTTTCTTGGATGTGCAGTCTTTAAAAAAAAGGTTACCATTTCTGGAATGGCTTCATGTTACATCTCTACACACTGGCCCACAAAGAAGGGAACTAGAGAGAAAGTTCCCCGAGAAGTCAAGGGTTCCCAGCCGATGGGGCAACTCTTGTGGAGGCTTGCACAGTATTTCACACATTGGTGGTTTTTTTCCTTTCTTTTTCTTTTTGAAAGATGATAAAATATTACAGAGGCATCTTCAAAATTCACACCTGAGTTAAACAATTTGCTGGAAAATTCCACATTAAGGAGAGAAGAACATAATGCAAAAACAGGAAAGGGCTACTATATACAGGTATTTTGCCAGCATAATTGTCACATGTTTACTTTTGTGTTCTTCCTTCTGCAGCCAGGAGATGGGAGAGAGGGGAAGAGATAAGGACTGAGATGGAGAGAAGAGCATTTCTGAACTCTGGGGCAGATGGAAGAGCCCCTGTGGGCAGAGAGCTGTGACCCAGGGACTGAGGGCGTCTCAGCCTTCTGTAAAGAGGAGGGGACTTGGAGAACACAGGAATGGATCTGGGTCTGGAAAACCGGGTGAGGCTCAAGAGGAAAAAGGAGTGACGGAACTATGTGGTCAGAAAACTTGGCTGAACAGAGAAACCGTCAAGGCTTTGTGGGAGACATCAGATTCAAATCATTTCACAGGTTTTAGAATCAGTTCTGAGGTTGTGGCTAAGTTCAGAGCGCAAACCATCATCTCCCCGTCCGGTCGTTTGGCACATCAGGCAGCCCACAGATGAGTTGGAAGGTGATGGCAAGAAGTCCTAGAGGGCACAGGAAAGTTGGTAAACTCCTGGGTGGGGGGTGCATTTCAAGAGCGCTGGGAGTCAGCACATGGTTCAGCCACAGACTGGATCTCCAGAGGCCCTTGCTCAGGATGAAGGGGAGTTGGGGTCCATTGAGAGTGGTGATTCTCTGCCCCTCTTCCAAAAGTAATCGGTCCATACGGAGAGGGCATGATTTACTTCCTTCCAGTGGGTAATACCAGGCCAGGTAGAATAGGAGAAACATTTTGGTCTCAGTGGAGGTAGGTGGGATGATTCCATCGGTACCAAGATCTGGGTGGAAGGGAGATACAAGTCAATCAGAAAGCTGCTAATGGGATGACAGAAGATGGGAACGGGCGGTGACTGCTCACAGGCACAAGGGTTTCTTTCTGGGGTGAGGAAAATGTTCTGGACTTAGTGACGGTGGTTGCACAACTTTGTGGGCCTACTAAAAACACTTTAAAATGGTATGGTATATGAATTACATCTCAAAACAACTTTTTAAAAATGTACATTATGTGATTTGGCTCTCTCTTTTTGGTAGGGGTGGATGGAGGAGCTCCACTTTTTGGGGCTGTGCAGTGATTGGCCAATTAAGAGGTGGCTGACTCACTGAGGAGCCTGGGTGTAGACACCTGGGCTTCTCTTTTCTGGCAAGCTCAGATTTTTGACCTATCGCCTCACTTTCAAATCTCTGCTTTGGGCATCAGGCATCTGCTCTGAGAATACTTCCAGAGGAGATTCTTGGACCCAGAGGCTGCTTCCCACCATGCGTTGCAGGTGGGAGCAGCCCCACATCCCTCTTTCAAGGTGTCAGCTACCCGAAGCCTGGCCCCATTCAGAAACCCTGGGACAGGCTTCCTGCCATGAAGTGGAGCACTCCTAAGCCCAGTGAAGGGGTTGGCCCTACTGACAGGACTGTCTGGAAATTTCCACCCTCCCAGGGAGGGTGGAAATTTTGGCTTTGTTGACATCAGCCCCTTGCCAGGACTGCTCACTGGCTGAAGCTTCCCTTGTAAAGCCCACTCTCTGGGGATGAAGTCCAGCCTGGCTCTGTCCCCTCCGTGCCACCCCATTCCCCTTTTCCAACCCCATGACATGCTCTTTTTTCCCCCAAGGTACTGACCCAACTTCTCACACATCCCTTGGCCCTGCTGGGATGTCACTGAACTGACCCCTTCCAACCCCATCTTACCCTGAAGAGTTAAAACTGGGGGAGGAGTTCACTGCTGCTTTGGAGTTATTTTGAGATGCAGTGGGGCTGCTGGTGTGGAGTCCTGAGCCAGGAGACGAAGGCCTGCTGTTGTTCCCAGGGGAACAGGATGACGTTACTGAGGAGGAGGAGAGGCAAAAACAAGCGGAAAATGAACGCTGCTGGGTCCTGGGACCTTGCAACACGATCCTTCCGACATGTGTTCCCAAAGGCATCTCACCCTCTCCCTCCCTCCACCCATCTGCCCACCTCCTGCCATGTCAGAACCAGCACCCGGCCCCAGAGAGGCTCTCATCATAAACGCTCTCCTCAGCCCAGGCCCTGGAGAGTGGCCGGGCTGGTTCTGCAGCTCCAAGGCTTGCCAAACATGAAGAGAACAGATGCCCAAATCACCCTCCTCCAGGTCACACCCTGGGCTGGGCAGACGCAGTCCCTGGCCAAGAGGAGGGAGGGGAGAAAGCAGCAGACTCAGAAAGGAAGAGAGGAGGAAAGAAAGAAAAGTGAACAGGGGAGGAAAGGAGAACCTGAGAGCACACTTAAAGATTACCAGCTTCTCTGGCGTCCCCCTCTCCACAAAGAAAAGATACTTGGTCTTCTTGAAAGACCACAGCTGGGAGGGAGGGAGGAGACCAGAGTCTGGGTCCGGGGCCGTGACCTGTGGCAACTCGCTTCACTTCCCTGAAACTCATTTCGATCCCCTGTAAAACGGCAGGTGAATTCTTGTATGTGGGTTTACCAGACAGTGTTCCACAAATAAGGTGGCATATATTTTACCATCCGAGCTAAGATACTTTGAAGAGTAGAGGGCAGTGCTACCGATAATTATGTCAGGACAAAAGGCCAGCAGTGGGACTGCCCTGAGTACATGAGGTATGGTCACCACTCTATCTAGCCCTTTGAAATGCCATAGGTACTTTTTGAAAAATCGAGTTCTGTAGAAAATTGGTTTGGAAAAACCTGCTGTCCTCACGGCTTATTTAGTAACGGATAATGCACTTCAGAAGCCCTGCAATTAAAATGTACAGAAAACTACTTGCTTAAACTTCACTTACTCAGTATTTCCCAAACTGCCTTGATCACAGAGCCCTTTTTCTCCTGGCACAAATGTTAATATCCTTTGAAATCTATTTAAGGAATGCTGAGTTAGGCAGGTACAGGTCTGATACCCCATTAAAGGAATTCGGGTTTATTCAGAAGCTTCCTTTTAAAGCTCACCTGTTCCAGGCATGGTGCTGTGGACAGGAGGGACAGAGAGGGGGCCCAGAGACCCGGAGGGAGAGACCTGAAAGGGAACAGAAGCTTGTAAATGTCCATGTCTGCTCCTTTCTCTAACTTTGGGTGCTTCTCCCAGGATGCTGGACCCGCAACTACAGACACCAGGGCTCAGCTTCCCTCACGATTTCCTAGTCCCAAACCTACCCACCACTCCTGCTTTCACAGGAAGGCCTCTGGACCTGTCCAGCCCCGCCCTGCTCTGTCCCTTCTTCAGCACAGCAGGGTGGAAGCTGCCAAGTTTGAATGCTTTGGTCTTGAGAGGGGGCCGTGCCTCTTGGCCCCTGTGGTGGCAGACAGCAGGTGGCTGCCTGTTCTCCTGTCCCCATTTCTTCCTTCCTAGAAGACCCCTTTGCCCAGGGCAGCAGAGTACCCAGCCCTAACAACGCCGTTGCAGGCTTCCTAGCCTGACGCTTGAGCAGACCACTGACTCTCCAGAGGTAACTAGAGTTGAATGTCAGATTCTAAAGCTTTTCATTTTGCCCTGGAGACCTCAGGGCATCATCAACTCTGATATTTGGAAGGGATCCAAGAGAATTTATTTTAATCTCCCACACAGTTCAGGCATCTGCCTCTCAGTATTACTGTGCTGGCACAACCCAGAACAGGATGTGATCGGCAAGAATGCACTTCAGGGCCCAACAGATCTGGGGGTGAGCCTTGGTTCCCCCACTAACTAACTGTGTGACTTTGGGCAAGTTACCTATCCCCACTGAGATTTGGTTTTTCTCATCTATAATATGACAGTAATTCCTCTCTTATATTTTCTTTTAATTAAGATTTAATGAGAATGTCCATGAAGCTTCCAACTCAATGCCCGGCAAAGAGTGCCAGGCTTGTTAAATGTTATTTCCCTTCCTTCCTGAACGAAGCTGTTAACAGCTGTGTGTCTCTAGACATTGTTCACCTCTTCATTTGAGCTGAAATCTGCAAATGGTCCCTCCCGCTTATTCTTACACTGACAGGGGAAGCTCTGATCAATGTTTTCCAAGGACATTGACAGGAAATCCTGGTCAGGCAGCTGTGATTTAATATTCCTCCCTTCCCCAGTGTGGAACATCCCAACAGGATGCATGCAGCCTGCACTCATTTCCTAAATAATCAGCAATGGTTCTGCTGTGTTCATTTACCTGCCCTTTTACAATGAGCCTCCTCAGTAGGCTGGAGGCTCACGAAGGGTGGAGGCAGGTGTGGGGCAGTGGTAAGAGATGTTATCGAGAATCTCCCTCTTCTCCTCCCCAGCCTGCTGCCACACCCAAGAAATCTGTTGTTGTTTTTAAATAAATTATGGATTTAGTCACTATGACCAGCCTCTTCTGTTTCCTTCCAGAGACAAGCTATGTATATGCAAGCAGATATACCTTTGGTTCCCCTTTGTTATTTTTTTATATAAGTGGTAACATTCTGCTCACATTGGTCTGCACCATTTTGTCTGTTTTTTTTTTTTTTTGGCATAACTGTATATCTTGGAGATCATTTCATAGCAGAAGCAGAAGAAACTATGCCCCAGTCCCAAGGAGACTGTCTCAGTGAGACCTGAGGAGAAGATAGGATCAGAACATTTTCCCCATCTTCTTTCATGACATCTCAAGTATTCAGGTGATTATTTACTTAACATCTTTCTCTCCTACAAGGCTGTAGACTTCACAAGGGCAGGGTACTGCATCCCCGGTGTCTCCTACAGTGCCTGGAACCTTGCAGGTGCTCAGTAAATACGTGTTGAATGAATGGTGAGGACAAACCAGGTTCCTTCTGAGCTCCTCCACGCTTCCCACAGCCTTTTTCTAGTAATGTCCTGGGTTGGGATTGAACCAAAGAGAGAACCTACCTCTCATCTCCTCTAAACAAAGCTTCAACTTTAAAGATTCCAATGCTCTTATGACATGATTCCATTTCCTTAACATGGCCTACAATGCCTTACATAATCTAGCCCCCACCTACGGCTCCAGCCTCCTCATTTACAGTCTCCTTAACTCCCCTGGGTTCCTGCCCATTTCAGCTTTCCACGCTTCCTTTTCCCAACCACCCCAGCCTCAGGGCCTTTGTACACACCCTTTCCTCTGCCTAGAATGTTCTTCCCTAGTCTCCTCCCTGCACGGCTCTTTCCCCATTAATGTCTACTCATCCTTCTGCTGTCAGTTTGAGCATCATTCCTCAGAGCAGCCCGACACCCCTAGACCAGGTTAGGCCCTTCAAATACTTTTACATCTTCTGGAGACTTCATCACAAATCGCATTTGTTTAATGCCTGTTTTCTCAGCTGGACTGTAGGCAGGGATCGCAAGTGTCCCGTACACCACTGTATCCCAGTGCCAGACACGTGTGGGTGCTCAATAAATATTTTTAAAAGGAATGACAAATTAATACCATGTTGCCTCCAACTTGAACTTTTCAATGGTTCCTCATAGCCATTAGTGTAATTTAGTGTCGGTGGCTCATCACAATCTAGCCCTCATCAGTCTGTCCTCATCCCAAACCCTTGGCTTCAGCCAGATGGAAATGCGTGTGGCTCCCCAGATGGATTGTGTTGTTTTATGACTTCATGCCTTCTCATAGATCATTTCTTCTGCCTGGTATGTTGTTCTTGCTAACTCCTAATCTGCTCTTCAAAGTCAGGGTCAGCCTTCCTAGACCTCATTCTGACTTGGGTGTCTTTTATCTGTATCTCCATAGCACTCCCAAGGACTTCTCACATCTACTTCATTGCACTGTTGCCTTTTCTGGCTCCTTCTTTTCGGTTCCTTCCCTTGATCCTCTTTCTTTGCGCATCCCCCATGGCTGGTGTTCCCCAGTGTTAAGACCTAGGATTTCCTCTTTGCTTCCTCCGTACAATCTCCATACTTAAGCTCGTCCTCACCCAAGTTTTCAACCACTATCTGGCTGCTTATGTCTCCCTGACCCATATCTCCATTCCAAGCTTCTCTCCTGACCTCCAGACCCATCGCTCCCAATGCCCGGGGACATTCTCACTTGATCTCCCACAGGCCTCACGGAACATCATAATGATGTAAAGAACTGAAATCATCGCGTTCTCTTACTCCCAAACCAGCTCCTCCCTCTGCGTTTGCCTGTTCCATCAATGGCACCACCAGCCCCATCAGCCCAGCCTGAATGCTGAGAGTCATCCCAGAGCATCCCCTTTCCTTTATCACTCTCCCTGCCCCCATTTGATTGTCAACTTGTTAACCAAGACCTAATAATTCTGCCTTCTAATTATCCCACGAATCTCTCCCATCCCCTCACTCTCACCATGTAGGTTTGCTCCAGCTCCCATTATTTCTCTACTGGATGACTGCAGTCACATTCTAACTGTTCTCCCTGGAACCAGTCTTGTGCCTCTGAAACCGCCCTTCACACTGTAGCCAGAGCAATCATTCTAAAGAGTAAATCTGATCATATCAATGCCCTGCTTAAAATCCTTCAGAGGCTCCTCCAAGCCTTCAAGTTCCTGAGCATTGCTGGCCTTTGCTTGATCTTCCCAGCCTCATCTTTCAACATTCCTCCTTTGAAACCACTTGCAGTTCTGGGAATGTGCCACCTATTCTCCCTGCCTCCCTCCACTGTTCTCATACTTTCTCACCAGGAACTCCACCCCGACTTATTTACCTTTTTACTCCATCTTGTCCCTTTAGACTCGGCTCAGGTATAAATGATCTCCTTGGGGAAGCCTTCCCTAGCCACCACATCCCAAGGCTTTGTTAGCTGCTACTCGTAGGTTCTAGAGAAATTATGTGTTTATCATTTGTTTGTCTGCCTCCTCTGCTAGGCAGTGAAGTCCTCTGAGATAATGAACAAATATTATTTACTTGTGTACCCCCAGGACTCTGCACAAAGACCAATTTATAGTAGATGTTCAATGACTATTTAGTGAAAGATTGAATAATGGTGCAGTTTTTATGAAACAACTATGTGCCACCCTGGACAAGGCTGAATTTCACCCATCCTTGAGTGCTGAAAGACTCAAGGGCATCATTAACCCCAAATCCCTTGACCTTCAGCCATCATTGTCCCCAGGGATGGAGAAGAACCTTCCTACCTCCACCCTCCAGGCACCATCTCTTTATCCTACAAGGCTGTAGACTTCACAAGGGCAGGGTACTGCATCCCCGGTGTCTCCTACAGTGCCTGGAACCTTGCAGGTGCTCAGTAAATACGTGTTGAATGAATGGTGAGGACAAACCAGGTTCCTTCTGAGCTCCTCCACGCTTCCCACAGCCTTTTTCTAGTAATGTCCTGGGTTGGGATTGAACCAAAGAGAGAACCTACCTCTCATCTGCTCTAAACAAAGCTTCAACTTTAAAGATTCCAATGCTCTTATGACATGATTCCATTTCCTTAACATGGCCTACAATGCCTTACATAATCTAGCCCCCACCTACGGCTCCAGCCTCCTCATTTACAGTCTCCTTAACTCCCCGGGTTCCTGCCCATTTCAGCTTTCCACGCTTCCTTTTCCCAACCACCCCAGCCTCAGGGCCTTTGTACACACCCTTTCCTCTGCCTAGAATGTTCTTCCCTAGTCTCCTCCCTGCACGGCTCTTTCCCCATTAATGTCTACTCATCCTTCTGCTGTCAGTTTGAGCATCATTCCTCAGAGCAGCCCGACACCCCTAGACCAGGTTAGGCCCTTCAAATACTTTTACATCTTCTGGAGACTTCATCACAAATCGCATTTGTTTAATGCCTGTTTTCTCAGCTGGACTGTAGGCAGGGATCGCAAGTGTCCCGTACACCACTGTATCCCAGTGCCAGACACGTGTGGGTGCTCAATAAATATTTTTAAAAGGAATGACAAATTAATACCATGTTGCCTCCAACTTGAACTTTTCAATGGTTCCTCATAGCCATTAGTGTAATTTAGTGTCGGTGGCTCATCACAATCTAGCCCTCATCAGTCTGTCCTCATCCCAAACCCTTGGCTTCAGCCAGATGGAAATGCGTGTGGCTCCCCAGATGGATTGTGTTGTTTTATGACTTCATGCCTTCTCATAGATCATTTCTTCTGCCTGGTATGTTGTTCTTGCTAACTCCTAATCTGCTCTTCAAAGTCAGGGTCAGCCTTCCTAGACCTCATTCTGACTTGGGTGTCTTTTATCTGTATCTCCATAGCACTCCCAAGGACTTCTCACATCTACTTCATTGCACTGTTGCCTTTTCTGGCTCCTTCTTTTCGGTTCCTTCCCTTGATCCTCTTTCTTTGCGCATCCCCCATGGCTGGTGTTCCCCAGTGTTAAGACCTAGGATTTCCTCTTTGCTTCCTCCGTACAATCTCCATACTTAAGCTCGTCCTCACCCAAGTTTTCAACCACTATCTGGCTGCTTATGTCTCCCTGACCCATATCTCCATTCCAAGCTTCTCTCCTGACCTCCAGACCCATCGCTCCCAATGCCCGGGGACATTCTCACTTGATCTCCCACAGGCCTCACGGAACATCATAATGATGTAAAGAACTGAAATCATCGCGTTCTCTTACTCCCAAACCAGCTCCTCCCTCTGCGTTTGCCTGTTCCATCAATGGCACCACCAGCCCCATCAGCCCAGCCTGAATGCTGAGAGTCATCCCAGAGCATCCCCTTTCCTTTATCACTCTCCCTGCCCCCATTTGATTGTCAACTTGTTAACCAAGACCTAATAATTCTGCCTTCTAATTATCCCACGAATCTCTCCCATCCCCTCACTCTCACCATGTAGGTTTGCTCCAGCTCCCATTATTTCTCTACTGGATGACTGCAGTCACATTCTAACTGTTCTCCCTGGAACCAGTCTTGTGCCTCTGAAACCGCCCTTCACACTGTAGCCAGAGCAATCATTCTAAAGAGTAAATCTGATCATATCAATGCCCTGCTTAAAATCCTTCAGAGGCTCCTCCAAGCCTTCAAGTTCCTGAGCATTGCTGGCCTTTGCTTGATCTTCCCAGCCTCATCTTTCAACATTCCTCCTTTGAAACCACTTGCAGTTCTGGGAATGTGCCACCTATTCTCCCTGCCTCCCTCCACTGTTCTCATACTTTCTCACCAGGAACTCCACCCCGACTTATTTACCTTTTTACTCCATCTTGTCCCTTTAGACTCGGCTCAGGTATAAATGATCTCCTTGGGGAAGCCTTCCCTAGCCACCACATCCCAAGGCTTTGTTAGCTGCTACTCGTAGGTTCTAGAGAAATTATGTGTTTATCATTTGTTTGTCTGCCTCCTCTGCTAGGCAGTGAAGTCCTCTGAGATAATGAACAAATATTATTTATTTGTGTACCCCCAGGACTCTGCACAAAGACCAATTTATAGTAGATGTTCAATGACTATTTAGTGAAAGATTGAACAATGGTGCAGTTTTTATGAAACAACTATGTGCCACCCTGGACAAGGCTGAATTTCACCCATCCTTGAGTGCTGAAAGACTCAAGGGCATCATTAACCCCAAATCCCTTGACCTTCAGCCATCATTGTCCCCAGGGATGGAGAAGAACCTTCCTACCTCCACCCTCCAGGCACCATCTCTTTGCTAAATGAAGGTATTTTCCACTCTCCAAACATACAAGTCTGCCTAAACGGCAAGTCATTCTGAGCTCTGACTTTCCCCCTGACAGCAGAATCATAGATAAAACTATCTCTTTGACACTTCCCTTTGGCTGCTAGGATGCATGTTCAGCTTAATATGATCAAAGCCAAGTTCTTAGTTTTTCCCCAAACAAATCTATTTATCTTGCACTCTTCATCATCTCAAAAAATATCAGCACCTTCCAACTGGTTGCTGAGGCCCAAATCCTTGAAGTCATCTTGGCCTCATTTCTACATCTGAGCTATCAGCACATCCCGTTGGCTCCATGGTGGAAGTATATTCGGAATCCACTCCCTTCTCCATACTACCATGGCTACCACCACTCTCAGCCTGAGTATTGTGATTCTAGCTGCTTCCACACAGATGATTCTCCACACGGCAGCCCAGGGCAGCCAGCTCAGGCTTCTCTGCTCAGAGCCCTCCAGCAGCTTATTTCATGCAAACTAAAGCCCAGACCTTCCCAATGGCCTCCAAGACCTTGGGTGGTCGACCTCATCATTTCTCTGACTTCATCTCTTACCTCTTGCCTCCTTCCTCACTCGACTTCAGCTACACCGGCTTCCCTGCCCTTCCTCAAACATGCCAGGTGTTTTCACTCACTGGTCCTTCTGTCTAGAATGCTCTTTCCCCCGGATATTTATTCACTTTTAATGCTTAGGTCCCCAATCAAATGTCACCTTATCTCTGACCCACAATTACTTTCTCTCCCCTTTACCTTCTTTCATCTTCTTTATAATTATATGTATTTGACATAAGCATCTATTTGCTTATTTACTTATTGGATATCCCCCTCAACCCCCAGTCCCCATCTTTCCCCAGGACGGAGAAGAGTCATTTCCTCCAGGCATCTTTTCCCCCAGTGCTTGACAGGCAGTTGGTTCCCTGTCGCTCACCAGCCGGGAATTGTAGATGGGTGATTTGATGGGTGTGGCCACAGGGCAGTTGATTCGCTTCTCTTTTTGACGCCGGTTGCAGAACCAGACCCTCACCACCTCCTTCTCCATGGACAGCTGCTCTGCAATCATGGAGATCTCCTCTGAGCTGGGTTTGGGGTTCTACAGAGACCAAAGGGATAGAGTCGGGTCAGGAGGAGAAGGGAAGACAGTCAAAGATAGGGGGTGGGGGCCAGATGTTCCCAGGCAGCAGGATAGAACAGTAGATGGATCAAAAGCTTTAGAATCAAACCAAGGATGGAACACTCATTTATCACTTAGTGTGTGTCCTTAGCAAACTTCCTTAACCTCTCTGGGCCTCTGTCTTGCCATCTATGAAGTGAGAAGAATAATGCCTATCATACAGGATTACTGTAAGGATTAAATGAGAAAATGTGTGCAGACTGCCAAGCACAGGGCCTGGACACAGAATAGGCTCCATAATTGTGTCATTGCTTCCTGTCCTGCTTCAAAATAGGAAACCACAAAGCTAAACCATGCAGAGCTCCCAAGACTGTGCAGCTGTATTATGGCTGACCCTTGAGTAACAAGGGTTTGAACTGGGCAGATTCACTTACACATGGACTTTTTTTTTCTTCAATAAATACATTGGAAAAATTGGGGGGGATATGCAACAATTCAAAAAAAGATGTTCTTTTCCTTAACTTACTTTATTGTAAGCATATAGTTTATAATGCATATAACAGAAAATATGTGTTATTTGGCTGTTTTTATTATTGGTATGGCTTCCAGTCACCCGTAGGCTATTGGTTTGGGGGGAGTCAAAAGTTATACACAGATTTTCGACTGCACATGTTGGTGCCCCAACCCCCACATTGTTCAAGGGTCAGCACCCTCTTGTTCTGCTCCCTCCCCACCACCCTATGTTTGACCTCAGCCCCTATCCCTCCCTTACTCTTGCTGCCTGAGAAATGTACCAGAAGGAAAAGCCAGCTGTTGGCATCGTGCCAGCAGGATGCAGCCATCAAGTCCTTGAGCCAAATGCACTGGAGAATCTGCTGGACGGGCAGCAGTTCTGGAGGCCCGGGGCCCACAGGGTTGGGCTAGGCCACGGGCATGTCCTTTAGGGACCTGCATGGTGCAGATGGAGACTCTGGAGGCTGGTACCGAAGGGATCCCGATTAGATGGCGTTTAGACCAAACCTGTTTTTCCCTCTTCCCTCCCCGGGCTCTTCTGGGACACAGAGCTGGTCCTAGTAGCTTCTATACACTGGCTCAAGAATGCACTTTTGCTACAAGCTACAAAGCGTGTGTGTATAAAATATGATCACATGTATTTAAATGTGTGTAGGGGAAAGACATAGAAGGAAATGCATTTAGATGGTATTTGATGATAGATTTTTGTCCTTTCTGCTTCCCAGTGTTTTCCTAATTACTTATAATGAGTATTTATCCCATTTGTAACTTGAAAAATATGAAAAATGCATAGAAAATAAAGAATTTATGTACAACACCTTGGCTTTTTACTCCCTTACCTCAACTGGATACAGAGATACACCGTCTTCAGAGACCCTCTCTCTCATTCTTGGAATCTCCCAGGGAGAGGGACAATGGGGCCCCCAAAAGTGAGGGCAAGAGGGGTCAGTGGGGAAAGAAGAGCCTAGCGCCCAAGATGAAGGCAACCTTTTCCTGAACACTGGGTGCCTGGAGAGGGAGCGGGTCTTGGCTTTGGGGCCCGTTCCCAGGCGGATGGCTGCGGGGCCCTCGCGCCCGCTGCCCCAGCTGCGCAGTCTGCCCACCCGCTCCCAGCAGGTGGGGCCGCTCACATCTTGAAATCTCTTCTCCAGGGTCAGGCGGATATTGGTCTCGATGCTGGTCCTTTTCTTCCTCTTCCTACCAAACACTTCACTGAGGGTTGGGTAAGAGCTGGCGGTGCTCACTGAGGGGTCGGAGGGAGAGGATTCTGTCGGGAGGTGAAAGAGCAGAGGAAGCTCAGAGAAGGAAATGAGAGGCCAGGTCAGGCCCTGTGTCAAGGGCCTTGAGGTCCGACAGCCCTTCCCGGTGGGCCGGCACTTTCAGGACAGCCCCTCCCCACTCCGGGCAACTGGAACAGACCAGGAATCCTGCTTCTCCTCGGTATTCTGGGCAAAGGTCCTCCACGACTCCCACAGCTCTGCCCCAGTGTTTGTGGTCATGGTTCAGGGACGGCCAGATATGGGTGGCATGTGGGTGGGTGTGAGTGGGTGCAGGCAGAGCTCCTACAAGGAATACTCAAGTCTTTCTTTGACAAGCATACGTGGATGTGAACATGGAGCAAAATGTGAGCTGGTGCTTTGAGCTTAAAGCAGTGGCACCTGGTGGCTGCATGTTGGTGTTGAAATGTTTTCTTTTCAGCGTAAGTGTTGGAGTTAAGGCTGTGTGATACATGGCAGGAATCCCCTTTGGGAAGGATAGGTGACAGGTGGGGGAATCATATTAGAAATGACCTTGAAGGTCCTTTCCCAGAGACCCTAAGTCCCTCCGATCATACCCTCCCACTTCAATGCTCTAATAAAAGCCGCCTAAGGGCCAGCCTGCGGGGGGGAAATCCCTTGCCCCCTCCCAGTTTCCCTGTGGAGGGACTTCCAAGAGGGGGATACCCTTGCTGCCCATCCCACCTTTCCTCCCTCTCCACAGTAGCCACTGGTCCACAGGTCCCACTGAGTGGAGCCCAGCCCCGGCCATGGCTCTGCTCAGGCCCCCTCCACCTAGACCAGTGGTTCTCAACCTGGGGCAATTTTGTACCACCGATATCCCCCCAGGGGATGTTCTGAGGTATCTGGAAACATTTTGCCGGAGGTTCAGACAATCCTGCCTGTCTCAACGGGGAGTGGGTACTATAGGCACATAGCGGGTAGAAACCAGGGAAGTTGCTGAGAATCCTGCAATTCATAGGATAGCACCCCACCACAGAGAATTATCTGGCCCCATGTACTGAGTGACGTCTTGGAATGCCTCCCTGGCCACCATGCCTGACTAAATCCTCCTGCAAACTCCACTCTCGTGGTATGGGTTTCCTGACCCTTCTAGCTCACAGGAAGTCTCTGTCCCTCTGAGAACCTACTGAATTAGTCAGATAAAGATCTTGTGTTGTGCCGACTGCCTCCCCACACCAGACATGAGGCATAACCTAGACCTAGTCCGGACAGCAATGTGGGTAAGTGTGTCTGCTCTGCAGGCCCCAACCTTGTCTCTGTGAGCTGTCCTAAGGTCTGCGCTGGGTAGGTATGGGGTAGAGCATAGAATGGGGCCACAGACCTAAAGCCATGTCCTCCGAAGGGCTTTATCAGTCATGAAGCTGACGTTTCCTTCTCCACTTGCCTCTATCGTGTCTTGCTTCTCAATAGGTCCCAGATTCAGGAGGAGAAGAAAGGCATGCCCTGTACTGACTGCTTAAAGCCCCAACCTGCAGCCCCTTCCTTGCAGAATCCTCTAGAATATTATCCATCTGCATGCCCCTGAGGCCCACCTGCATCATTCAGCCATTTCTCCAGCAGTGGCTTGAGCTTGCACATGTTCTTGAAGCTCAGATTGAGGGCCTCAAATCGCGAGATGGTCGTCTGACTGAAGTCGTTGCCGTACAGCTTTCCCATTGCCAGCCCCACATCTCCCTGCACATGGGTATTGGGAGGGAGGAACCCGAGACAGGCTTCTTCTCTTCTTTGTCCACGTCCCCCACCATCCTAGCATCAATCACACACCCGGGGACCCTGTGAGCACCCACCCACCCACCACCTTGACTCCTTCCCAGGATTTTCCCTCTACAGTGTTGAATTGGTTTATTTCTCTCCCAAGACTCTGAGCGGGCTGTACCCTTGCACCGGGCCCCTTGACTGTCTCTCATTCATTCCCCTCTACCAGTAGTGTCCTCAGTTTCCCTGCCAATGGCAACTGTGCCCTATTCTCCAACACACTGAACCCCAGCTCACTCCTGAAGCCTCTACTCGGGAAGCCCAATCTCCGTGCACTCAACCCGGTTTCTCCCATCTCCCTGCAAACAGACCTGCGTGAAGCCCAGCTTGATGCGCCTCTGCTTGAAGGTCTTGGCAAACTTCTCCAGCTCCTCCAAGTCACTGGGCTCATCGGCCCCTCCGGAGCTGGGTAGGTGCTTGAGCACTGGAAGATGCTGGGGCGCCTCCAGATGGGGCTCTAACGGGGGTCCTGGCAGCCCGGGGCGCCCAACTGGCTAAGAGGGAATACATGCCAAGCAGGTCCACATACAGCCAACAGAGCAAATGGCATTTTCTGATATTTCACGCTAATACGCTCTCTTAGAGGATGACAGATCCCTGACATTTGATTCCTGGTTTTTCAATGGCATGGAAGAGCAACCTGGGGTTTCCATGAAGGGTCAGCAAATAGCTAGAAGAGCTGGGCAGGAACGGGAGAAGGGGGACAGCGAGGCAGCCTTTCTGGGTTCTCACCTATGACTCACTGTGTGACTCTGAGCAGATAACTTCCTCCTCTCTGCTTCCCACCATACAAGGAGCTAGCAGGGCTGTTTACAAAGATTCCAAAAACAAATCTCAGGATGGGACAAGGAAACAGTTGTTTGCCTTGCTGTTCTTTCCACAAAGTAAAGTCACTGAGGTGCCCAACGGGCATTAACTGAGGATAACAGGGGTCATCTGAGACTCATGGCATCATAGAATTTCCATAGCATTCCAAACTCTTATGACTGCCATTTTCTTTCTTGAGAGTGTTTTGCTTTTTTGCCTTTAAAAGAAAAAAAATCAAAGG